CCTCTCCCTCCATATGGAGCTGCGATGTAGCCAGGCGACGCACTCTGGCTTGATTGTGAGTAGAGACGCGCCGCGCCGCAGGCGTCGTCGCCCATTGCTTACGCAGTGCGCTAATCCCTGCACCTACGCAGTCACTTTGATGGGAAACTTCCCTCACCAGTCTGGGTGGAGTGCGGTACATTCTCTGTCTGTGGACGACACTCTTCTCTCAGACTGGATTCTTCGCCCTCACATCCCTGCGGGAAAGAAGACGAAAGTAAATGGCGGCTAGTCGAGAACGAACTCTTTTATCTGTCGGCGGCGGGAGTTATAGGCGTGTGCAGACCTTTTGCCGAATAAAGAATCACGAAGCCCTTAGTCATCGCTTGAAAAGGCACAGAACCGGGAAGGGATGGTGGGGGAGGGGGAGGCATGGGGAGGGGACTGGTGGGAGTCTTTATTCTGCCTGGAGCCCGAAAGTCCCATGTCATATTTTGCAGGTTCTAATAGTTACGTCTCTGCTAGCGACCCAATTGGGGACGGTGACCGGCTTTTTCTAAAACCAGGCAGGCTTGCTGGCCTTTTCTCAAGATACTCGGGCATACTAAGCTCGATTTGTAGTTCTTCCCTATAAACTCTGGCCTTTTTCTTCAGATCGCTTAGTACGAAAAGCTATGATTACTCTGCATGTCTCAGTAAAGACCAAACGGTGGAACAAAAACATGCACCGACTTTGAAGTAAAAATTCTGTGTGTTTTGCGGGGCTTCGGTCGCAACGCGTCCGAAAGCTCTGCTCCATTGCGTTTCTCCAAAATTCTGTCTCGGCATTTATGAACTATAAGTAACCTCCATGTAGAGGATGATTCTCAGGAGCCGAGGGATTACCTGTGGTTCACAGGTCTCTGACCGTACAGACGAGGCGCCTGATAAGATGCTATCTACACAATAATATCTCTCCCCCCCGCACCCGTGTCGTATACGAGACCTCCGCTGTTATGCTAAACCGAAAGGGGACTACATTGGTTCAGCATAGGCGTTAGTCGGCCAGAACCGAGTGTGCGTGAGTCATCAATTACTTCGGTCACTCGCGCTGAATGCTACAGACAGCGACGTTGCATCACGCCAGCCCCAGCGTCCTACATCCCCCCCCCCCGACTGTACCAAGCCGCAGGCGCGGGGGAGGCCGAGGTCACTTGGGTTCGGATCCAAAGTTTAGTTTCCTCACGGTAGACGAGGAAACTCGCCTTGCAACGATTACGACCCGATACCCTTCGTGGCTTACAGGGCTACCAACTAACAGCACAACTCGACCCCACTAAAGGCGCCTTCTTAATGTGACCTTTTTGACACCCTCACTTGTGTTTGATCGAAAACCCCCTCCTCCCGCCTCTGTTTTGAGTGGATTTCCGGACCAGATCCTTTGTGAGGTACACCTGATGGGCTGTTTGACTTTGCAAGCCACTTATTCGTCTCCTGTCGTCTTGACCTTGCATGCCGTCGGAGGAAGGTGAGGTCGATGCAGCAGGCATGTGAAATGGCCATTTCAGTCTCCCTTGTCTCTGTCGGTAAAGTTACTCTGCGTATATTGCGCGCCGCTGTGCGGCTTCTGGTTGGGCTCGAGAGAGACAGAGCCCGAAGGGCACAAAAGAACGAGTGAGTTCCGTAACAACAATCATTGAGCGCCCCTATACCACTGTAAAGGGAGTCAGGAGTAGGCCTCGTCGTTTGCAACAGACGTCTTGTCGTACGTTTACAAGATGGTCATTTCAATTCCCACCCTTTTTGCAACATTTGGGCAGAGTTTGGTCAGGTCCCTTAATTTTACTTTAGCTGAAGTCGTTCAGTTAGTAATTTTCAAAATAAATTAGTATGGTAGGGGGCGCTCACCGATCGTTCTTACTGAACTCACGCGTTCCGTTGTGCCTTACGGGCTCTCTCTCTATCTCTCGAGACCAACCAGCAGCCGCACAGCGGCACATGATATAGGCAGAATGAAATTGCCGACAAAGACAAGGGAGACTGGAATGGTCATTTCTGGCTTATTCACCATCGTTAGCTAGTCATACCAAACCCCGAATCCTGGAACACCCGAGGCTCGAACTCGCTACCTGTTAGTTAGAAGTCCACGCCTCTAACCACTGGGCCACGACCCCACGAACGAGTGAATTCTGTAAGAACTATCGGTGAGCGTCCCCTAACATTTTATATTCCCGATCGAAAACCGACAGGGCAACGGGCTCGTGGCGCACTGGTTAGAGGCGTGGACTTCTAACTAACAGGTAGCGAGTTCGAGCCTCGGGTGTTCCACGCTTCGGGGTTGGGTATGACTGGCTGGCTGGCGACGGCTAATAAGCCGGAAATGGCCGTTCTAGTCTCCCTCGTCGTTGTCGGTAATGCCATTCTGCCTAAATAAATCAGTGCTTTATTGATGTGCATCGAGCAACAGAAAATACACAAATCAGGAATCCCCTGTCTCAGTTTCAAACCTTGTCAGTTGAGTTTGCACATAGCATCATATATTTGAAATAGTCTGTAATTATACCGGATTTTGCATAATGTGGGGAACGGCGAAATCTCAGTGCCAGCAGGCATCGTTTGATAGACGGTGTCTTGGAGCTGATGTGAATTCGAATACTTGCTGAATCATCACATTTACGCCTGCCGATCCTCCGAATGTGACATGCAAGAAAACCCTGTGCTTTCTTCTGTGAATCGGAAGGTAAACACTAGCAACAATCACTTAATTGTGTCGAGACCTTAGAAACGGGCACACTTTTGACAAACTTTGAAAATAGAATTCTCTAAAAACCCAGAGGCCGCAGAAGACCGGTGTAGACGGCTAGCCCGTAAGTTGGTCAGTAATTTGCAAGAAACTGGGAAAATATGGCGTAGAAAGCAAAATTCATCGAGGGTTGAAATGCGGCTCTTCAGCAACTTACTGCTGCGAAAGCATATTAGTCGCAGGAACGTTCAGGTTGCATTCGCATGCGGGAGTAAAATGCAAAACTGAGGTATATAGGTGTGAAAGAAAAGCTTTGCAACTTTTCTTTTAGAAACCCCTACTGTTATTTCACTTTTCCGTGGGTTTATTTTAAATACCAATTCCATCTCGGTGTTTCTTTTATCTGGATAAAACAAAAACCTTTAAATAATCAATTACGTAGGCAGGAAC